GCGAAGATATCTATTGTTCAATATCATGATTTTTATTTTTGATTCTTAATATTGTACACACAAGAGCTCTGCAGATGACATTAGAAAGATGCTTGGGCTTCTGATTGACAATATCTATGTGGTTTTCGGAGACCAGGTCTTCAAGCAATATATTGAAATTCTCATGTATACCAATTTGTGCCAAGATATTAGCAGAAATATTTTAATTTTCATATGAAGCAGAATTTGAATAAAATCTTATAAGTGAAAAAAATAAAGCATTTGCTGTGGCCATCAACTCGACATTTAGATATATTGTAAATTAACAATGTTTATTTCCACTCTTATGTCGACACGATGTATCAACGATGAGATTGAAGGAGCACAGGGTCCGACACATCTGTTTCATATAGCGATATTTACTTTACCAATCCGTTAATAGTTATCTATTTACCAATCCGTATAATAAATGTGATGGCTTTTCAATCGTGAGCTTACCTTTCTTATGCAGCAATATGCTTCATCTCCTGCATACGGGGTTTATATCTCTCAGTTGATTCGATACGCAATAACATGCTCTATAAACAATTTCTAAAACGAGGTAAATAATTGACAAGCAAGTTGTTGAAACAAGAATATCATCAATCTCGTTTCACATCATCATTTTGTAAGTTCTATGGTCGATACAATGACCTTGTAAACAAAAACATTTATCATTGAGTCAAATACTGGCTGAAGTTTTTCACATTAATTTTTAGGCCATTATTTATGCACTGAGTTGTCACGGTGTTTTCCTTTTTCCCGAATTTGACAAGGAGCATATGATTGGTGTGACCGGTCGACAGGGGATGCTCACTCCTCCATGGCACCTGATTCCACTTCTGATGTCCTTATCCTTTTTTGTTATATAGTTTAATAGACTATAGATCTTGAGTATTGTTCGTTATCTCCATACATTCAAGCAATCATATTTATAAGTGATTCATCATAGTTAACAAAACGAGGGTTGTCCCAAAAAGTCTTAGACAATGTTTTTAACTTTTTAAACATGCAACCAATACTTACCCAATTTTGCATAGGCATAATATATTCAATGTTTTAAAATTTGTGAATATTAAAATGTATATCTTTAATATAGATAATATAAGGACGATTTATGAAGTCCGATAAGGTATGTTGGCGCACGAACAAAATTCGGAATACTTTACTCATGTAACTATTACATTAATTTTGCTTTTCTTTCATTAGTACTATGTAAAACATTGAACTCTAATTTAAATCAGTATAACCAGAATCAAAATCTTAATATGTCAAAATTTCATATAAATAGCATTAGAAACAGACAATTGGTGTCATGATTTTCAGTGTTGTTGGAATTGAGTTTGTTGAAAATGACGTCGTCAAACGCGTAACCGGCGCACGGACATGCAATAAATTGTTTTGAATATGGTTTGTATACATCACTTTCCTACTTATGTGTTCGGAACCTTTTATTTTTCGGTGTTCTGCAAATTATAAAACCCGATGGGTTCGGAGTAGTTCTGACAGTGGCTCTGGCGAGAGTTAGCGAGATAGGGTAAATTATTCACGGAAATGTGGCTAGGAAGTGACTAGCAAGTAGAGACATGGTAAACAGAAAAGTTATGTTGCGTTTTAGTTTTCACCACCCTATAATATCATTCTGTAGAAATGTACTTCAATCGATCTTTTTTGAATTCATTCAAGTTTAAATTATAAGTACTAGTATTCTCCATGATTTTCTGCTGTCATAAATTAAAATTTCTTTTTGGACAAATATTTTGCATGGGAACCGGGACTATATTTTTTGGCGTCAGATTAGCAAATGAGGCACCAATGGGACTTTAAAGCAATATGAGCTGCATCTTTGAAGTCAGAATATTTTGTTGCAAAATTGTGAATAACTATTTCAATTAAAGAAAATTAAAATATTTATAAACTTTTGTTGTTCATATTTGCAATGTAAGACCTATTTATAAGCTTTGATTGAAAGAAAATTACATTATTGTCGTCCTGTACAATAATTATTCCTTATATATTACTGTATATTCGATTGTATAGAAGTCTTTCTTCTTAAACAATTTAATGTTTTTTTAGTCTAATTGATCAAAAAGGTTTAAGTTACATACAAATTTATCATATTAACACATTTTAAAAGAAATATAAAATTTTCAAAAATGCAGCTCATATTGCTTTAACTGATATCAGATGAATGAGAATTGCATTATGGGTTACTATATGAATATTACAGGAATTTTACGCTTGATGAATTCCTTTATTGTACTATTGGTGAATACAATTGTCAGGTGGATTCCCTGGCAAACACACGTGATCATGAGTATAGTTATGTAAAAAATGTTTTGTCCATTTTGATATGAGAAGCTGCTCGGTTTCCTTACCCTTGAAGTGCTGGCTTTCTGAACTTGACACTAACTACGTATACATTTTATTAAACATATTTTTCTCTAGTTAACAACAAATTAAAAACGCCCGTGATATTTTTCATAGTTTCTAATGTTTGCATTTTATTCTATAGAACATTTTTTTTTATTTTGCACTCCATTGACATGATCATAGATTGATCTGAACCACTTGTTCGAATTAGAATATAAACATACATTTGGCGTAAACGTTGCAATTCATTCAACAATTGGTCAGTGCTCTTGGTAAGATCCTCTGTGCGCAGTAATAACAATAGCCATATACAATGAAGCGCATTGAAGTGGTAAAATTTTCCGTTTGGATGGAACGTTTTGAGCTATCTTTAGACACGCCCATTTCATTAGAAAGGAAAATTCGGTCAAATGATTCAATCGAATACCTGTAGAACAGGTATTCCATAAATATAATAGCCAGTCAAATGGACGGGCTACATAAACACCGAATAAGCACGTGTTCGACTGATACATGTTATGCTAACTCCAATAAACATGATAAAATCATAATTATGTACAAATTCGTTTAAATGTATGTTTTACAGAAGCGGGTATTCTATATATAGCTCTTTCTTATTAAAAAATCTAAATTCGAGTGTAACTCATGTTGCTTCTCGCGGAAAGTGGGGTGTCCTAAAACATTACGACGAATATTTCTTTCTCTTTTCTAAAGAAATGGGCGTATCGTTATGTTATAATTGACGTTCAAAACATGACTCAGAACGTTTCATCCAAATGGAAAATTTTACCACTTCAATGCGCTCCATTGTAAGGCAAACAAAGGTTTGTCAGTGTAGATGATATTACACATTTTTTTACCAGCGTATCGGTCGCTATTGAGCTGTAATTTTTGCAGTAAACTATGATAAGATGTATTAACTGTTATTTAACCCCACCCCACCCCCTTAAGCCATCCATTTCTGTTTGAAATCATGAAAGTCTTTCAGAAAAGTGTGGAAACACATTTTTCACATGGCATGTTTCAGAAAAAACAGGCTATAGCAATTTCCTGTTTACTGCCAATTTTATTTACAAAACCGGTTCTGCCCTATAGCCTTTAAATAGGTAAACCTAAACCATAGGTAGGGATGCATCAGAGACGGGAAAAAAGAGTACTGAAGTGACACTACACACTAGATTTTAATAGAAAATATTTTTAAACGGCATGAGATTCAATTAGAGTTTTTCCTCTAAACCGAAAATAGTTACATCATTTAAGAAGAAGAGTACTTTTTGTTAAATGCAGACAATGGGAGAACAATCTGGGCCACGAACGACGTCTAACAATGCGTATTCTCTGCTGCCTACAGTGTATGGCAATCTTTCGACTAAATTTCGACTAAAATTTGAATCTGCTTTATAAAAAACCGGGCAGTTGTGAATTTAAATAAATCCCTTAGTCGAAAGTGGTCTTTCATGTTAAAAAAAATATTGAATGTGAACAAAGGCGCATGAAGCAGAAATTAAGATCAGAGACGTAAATCATGCTTGTTTTCGTGCGCCGATGTAAACTTACATGCTTTCTTTATTTTTTAATTATTTTCTTATTACATGTGATATCATCATGAAATCTGAAATGCATGATCATAAAATGTTACTTTTTGCTTTTACAAGAAAAGAAATTCAATTTAGCAAAGAGAAACTAAACTGTTTTCTCTTTCTACGACTTCTTGGGACAACCCCCGTAAATATAATTTTTCATTTGTATTTCGTAATGCCTTTACTGTACACAAGTTATAGTTAAAATTGAAGACAGAAAAATGCTGATAATCACTTTATCAGATCAAAAGAGTGCCCGTTTTTGAGGTTGATTATGCAATGAAAAAAGATATTTCCTTTATTAAATATTCTTTAATTAACAATAGTATGCAAAAATATTATTTTAAAGTTATCATTTCCTTTCCTTTTCCATGAAATTCACAGGGACGTCTTTTATAAAGAAAAAAACAACACTTAAAATAAACTGTAATACACTTTTGCCTTTTTATAAATTTCATGCATATTTTTAAAACTGTAAGCTTACATTTAGTTTTAGTTGGTATTTTAGATTCGATCAAGTTTGAACCTGGTATCTGATTTCCTGCTTGTCTACATGGTGTTTTATTACCAAATGACTGGCAGCGCTCTTTTCACGTATCAAATCAACAGCTGTTTGTCTGGAATTTGTCACGTTCAAAACAAGTATTATATATTTTTATCCTCCTCTCGACTGGTATCCGACTGTTGAACTGGATTTTCCTGAAATAAATTTATCAAACATTCTGGTTCCAACACAACGTCCGCCTCACGTTCATCCAAAAATTGCTGAGAAGTAATTGAATGTAACGATGGCGAAGAAGAATTACTCTCTACGTCATACTCATTCACTCTCGATGTCCTACATCTGAGTGAAAGAATGTTATAGTTGTCCTTAACAGAGTAGTCATATGATACATCTCCATCGGTAGAAGGGCATATACTGGTGTTTAACATACTGGAATCTGTATAATTGCACTCACTATATATATTTTCATCCTCACTCCTCATACCAGTCAACTGTAAGTTGTTTAAAAGTTTTCCTGAAATACAAAAGTCAGCAAATAGAATTCATATTAAGGATCTTACAATGAAGAAGGTTCATGTAATACTTAGTTTAGAATCAAATAACACAGTATACGAGCTAGGAGGGATTTAATGTTACTTATATACATAGAGTCTACTTATTTTATTCACGTTTGTAAATCCTTTTACTCAATCTGAAGAAGAAAAAAACATCTTTAGTTGTTAAATATGATTGAAATCAGTCAGTCTTTAAACATGTTAAAGATTAAACATAAAATCTACATGCTTACTTGAGATAAAAATGTTAAAAACTACCTTATTAGAATAAAAGCACATAAAACGCTGAAGAAAACTACTGCTGCTGAGGAAACCAACAGAGATATTGTTACTTCGTTCAGTATGTTCAATTTCTTGTCTGAGCTTACTAAATTAATAGAAGATTTGTAGAATAAGTCTCTGAATGGAAGATAGAATGTACTGACAATTTTTCTGGAAGGCAAAAGATAACATTAACCTAAAATAAGTGAAATTTTTGAATCACATCTGTATACATGTATAAAAAACAAATGTCGCAAATCTTTTCCGAACTATAAATTGGGAAATATGACGAATCTTACTATAGTAAAATACTTCGCATCAACTTAAGATTAATTGATCCATAGAAATGAAAGGATTTATTTCTTAATTTAATTCAGTTATAAGTCAGTCAACTCTCTACGTTGATTCAATACACAAGAGTATGTTCTAGGTACAAACATTTTCTAGCTGTCACAAGCTATGAACATTAAAGTTGAGAAAAGGATAGATCTGAATAATTAGTTATTCGTAAGTTCTTAGGTCAAAACAATGACCTGGTCGGCAAATTATTTCTTTTAATAAATCTAATTTTGACTGGTCATTATCATACAAATCAGCGTGGTAGTTTGACATGAGGTAGCTTCTCCGGTCTGTGGTACCTGATTTCAATTCTGAAGTTTTTGTCAGCCTTTGTTTCCTCTGATCCCAATTTGTATTTTCATTTGACTTTTAAGCTTTTATAAAATTTGTTTTCTCCATTACGTACTATAAAACTCTAAGTCGAGGCCTATTATAACGCTATCAATCTTTGTAGGCAATAAACTTCAATGAAATCAAAATGTTTCAGCATTCATATCATAATACAATAGTCATTACGAAAGGATGGAACATTGAACTCTGCTTATAAAAAATATATGTTTATAAGACAGTTGCAAGTAATTTTAAACGTACATATTTGAACAAGGCGTTTTATGCCTAGGTCACATTTAAGCCGATGGTCGGGCGACTAAATTTTTCTGGTATTGTCAGCTGAAAGAACATGGTCGACCGATACAGTATCGGGCGAAACTGAGCAGTCACATTAATTCCTAGGGACACCATTGACTTGGATAAATAACACAAAAAATCTTTTTTCTTTACAATTAAGCAATATTTTTTTAAAGATCTATATTCAGATAGGTGACATGAGTAATGTTTGCAAGGCAAAGAGACAGAAACTTATAAAATTGTGACTCAATGTTGAAAATGTGTGCAAAATTTTGTATGAAATTGCATTTAAACGACAAATGGTGCATATCTAAGCAGCAAAGAATACTTAAGATTTCTTTATATCTTACGGATTAATTATTCATGTTATTTCCGTTCACAAAATTTATATCAATCCATGCATCAAAATTTTGTTTGTGTTATGTATCCTTACTAGGTTAAATATTCACAAGTCGGCCAATCGTCTTTCGATCATCGAGCTCTAAGCTACAGTTTGATTTTAAGCGTCGGCCGAAATTTTAAACACCCTTATTGTCCAACGACGGACGACCGACTCAAAAAACTGACCACCGATGGTCGGACGATGATCGAAGGTTGGTCGACGGATAACTTCACTTGAAAGAATCGGCCACCGACGCATAAAAAATTATAACTTGGACCGATAGACACAAAATTGGTCGGCCGACAGAAAAAGAGGTCAAAATCGGGCAAGACAACGGCCGGTTAGCTGACGACTGTCACCCGAAGAATCCCATTTTTGCTTCAAAACCCGTCGGCCGTTGGTCGTTTTTGGAAATGTGACTGGGGTTTTACACTTATGTAAAGCATTTTCGTCATGTGACCATCAATTGATTGTTTAGTCATAAACGATCTACGTAATTTCATTGTCATAAGGGATAAAGATGTTTAACACACTCAATTCATACCGTTGAGTTTTGAATAAAATTAATCATTAATAGGTTGATAAGTTTAATGCCTTACTATCTGTAATAAATCAGTGATGAATGTTAATATAAGCAATAAGTGTTATCGGGATATAACTACGGGTAAATACGGATTGGTGTGTGATCAAATCAAACAGAAAGCCCTTAAGAGATATGATCAAATAACCAACTGTATTTACATCTCCACAAAACTTATAAAATTATAACTTATTTGTTAAATAATAACAAACAAACCTGTGTTGTAAGGCCTGGCTGTTGTAAATAGTGAAGTTTCGTTGCTGAAGGAACATCCTATTTTTGGATCACATGCTTCATCATCAGAACAGTTACACGTAAAGTAGCAGTTCAATCCAAAGGTACCAGTTGGACAGATTTGAGAACAATTACATCCATATCTACCAGGCTCACAGGCTGTAGGAAGAATTAAGTTTATTTAATTGTTTTGTTTGGTTTCTCAAATATTTAAAGAATTATTCATTGTTATTGTTGTTGCTGAACATGATACAATATTTACATTTGCAAATATCTTTCTTAGATGAACCTATTGAAGAGAAAATACGTTCAATTTTGTGTAAATTTCATTTGGGTGTCAGAGGTCATAACGCGACAGGATCACAGAGCGGTGTGAAATTTTGACCAAACAACTTCTAGGTCATTGCGCGTCACTACATAACAATACGTTGGTCCATTCGTGTAATAAATACAATTTAACTCAAAATGTATTCGTTTCAAATGTAAATATAAGTAATAAACAACAATGTTAAAAAGTTCACTGGGAAATGAACTTTTAGTTGGTACGTGATCAAATCTACTGAGAAGCCCTTCGGGCTTCACAGGATTTGATCACGTGACCAACTAAAAGTTCATTTCCCAGAGAACTTTTTAACATTGTTGTTTATTTCTTAAATATACATTACCGTAATATTTAGCTTTCAATTTTTTTAGTGCCACTTGACTTACGTTCGCATTTTTCTGGCCCTTTTCTAAAGTTGGCCTCACATGAATACGGCCTGAAAGGTAAAGTGGAAACAATTGCTGCTTCGATAATATACACAGGTTGAAAAAATCATAATGAAGTTCGAATATGGAATTTGTAAATTTCTACATAATGAGAATGTAGAGGGTACTGTAACATTAACTTATTTAAAAGTAGCCTCCGTAAAATCAAAACAACATGCTCCGTACATGTCCATATGGGAGTCTTAAACAAAGTAGGTGAATAATTAATACAGTTCTATTGATTGATTGATTATATACTGTTTAACGTCCCTCTCCAGAATATTTCACTGATATGGAGATGTCACCATTGCCGGTGAAGGGCTGCAAATTTAGGCCTTAATTGCTTGGCACTAAAGGCCTTTGAGAAGGGAGGGATCTTTATCGTGCCACACCTGCTGTGACACGGGGCCTCGGTTCATACGGTCTCATCCGAAGGACCGCTCCATTTAGGCTTTTACGACAAGCAAGGGGTACTGAGGACCCAGTACTATTGAAGTACAAAGGGGTTGGTTTTGGACTCAGTTGAAGACAATTTTTCTAAACATTGTCGCATGAAAGATATGGAGAAAACGAACATTATTCAATATCAAAGTCCATAAAACAATATGAAATAGGAGCAAAGCAAACACAGACCTCCGAAACATCTGAGGTGGGATCAGGTGCCATGGAGGAGTGAGTATCCCCTGCTGACCAGTCACACCCGCCGTGTGCTCATTGTCATGATCGTGAAATAACGGAAAATCCGTCGTCAATTCAGTGTATAAATAATGGACTAACAATTGGTATAAAAAACGCCAGTAACCATTTGACTCAATGATAAATTGTATATGCTGACACGGTCATTATATCCACAACAGAAGTGCGTAGCTCAGTCGGTAGAACGCTCGCTCCGTGATTGGGAGGTCGTGAGTTCGTATCTCGGCCGCGACTGACCTAGTCGTTAAAATTGGTAGCAATTGTTCCTTCGCCATGCGCTCGGCACTTTGAAGTGAAAATTGCGGGTCCTTCGGATGAGACCTTAAAAACCGAAGCCCCGTGTCAGCGGCAGGCGTTGGCACGATAAAAATCCCTCACTGCTCAATGACCCTGAGTGCCGAGTAAAGGTCAAAATTTGAAGCCCTTCACCGGTATACGGTGACGTCTCCATATGAGTGAAAAATTCTCGAGAGGGACGTTAAACAATATACAATCAATCAATCAATCCACCACAGAACATACGAAATGATGACTTTAAACGAGATTGTTGATATTCTTGTTTCAGCAACTTACCTCGTTTTAGAAATTGTTCGTACGCAGAGCATGCTCTTGCGTATCGAATCAACTGAAATATATACACGCCGTATGCAGGTGATGAAGGTATATTGCTGTATGAGTACGGGAAGTTGACGATAAAAAGTTAAAGTCGTCACGTTTATCATATAACTTGATTGTTAGGTTACCATTAACGTCCTTTTCAGGTAAAAATCCATATTTCAAAACTTGTAACTAAGTTTTAACAATGAAAAACCATCTCCTAATGAATGTCTATTAACACCAAAAATAACATGGAACAAATACGTCGCAAAATGATAACCTAGGGGGAAAGTTGGCATTAATATTTATAACATAGTAAAGCTTCATATAAGCATACTAAGGAAAGTATAATGAAAATTAGTATTAAGAAATGAACGATTAATTTATTTAGTAAACGTTATTGCAGAAAAAAATTTATGATAAAGTACCAGTTATTAACATGACATCCTCCATCGATGTTACACACTGTTGTTAACAGAATGGTTATAATGTCTTTATGAAAGACCATCACATGCACTCTTCCGAGTATTTGATGAAAATCAAATAAAAAATCTTGAAAAAATAACGACTAATGTCAATTAATTTAGTAAAATTGCTTGACACTTTTTCATAGTTTTATCTTTTCATTCCACGTAATGTGAATGCACTTTATTTTATTCCATTGCCATGCCATTATTTTTTCATGAATTTCCCTTTTTCTTTCACGATAAAATGATGTCTAAAAATAGAATTATATATCAAGGAAATTAGATAGAACAGAAAGTATGATATATCCATAAATCAATTATGTCGCTTAAGTTCACTTTTTAAGACTTCAAGATTTATTGGGGTATGAAAATTCTTTATGGATATACCGTCATATTGTCATTTTCTGTATAATTATGTAATTTTAACATTACACTTTACACTTGTCGCCCAGATGCCGTAGTAGTTAGAGCGTCTGCTCTAAAATCGCGGAGTAAGGATTTTATACTTACGTCACGGCCCCGTGGGGATCCGAGTTAGAATAGGTCCTCAGTACCCCCTTGCTTGTCGTAAAAGGCGACTAAATGGGGCGGTCCTTCGGATGAGACCGTATAAACCGAGGCCCCGTGTCACAGCAGGTGTGGCACGATAAAGATCCCTCCCTGCTCAAAGGCCATAAGTGCCGAGCATAGGCCTAAATTTGCAGCCCTTCACCGGCAATGGTGACGTCTCCATATCAGTGAAATATTCTGGAGAGGGACGTTAAACAGTATACAATCAATCAATCTTACGTCACGGGTTTGCATCCGACTAGGAGACGTGGAGACCGGTCCTTCAAATTAGGCTGTGCAAACCGAGGCAAACACGAAACACTCAATAACTTTGAGTGCTTAGTAGTATGCCAATGGGGCTTAGAATCGTATTTTGATTCCCTTACTAAATCTATGTGTGTATTTTTCGGACACCTGAGTAAACTCAGGTGACCGTTTGCTGTCGTGCGTTAACATTTGTACATTTTCAGCTTCTTCTCTGCAACCACTGAACCAATTTCAACCAAATTTGGCACAAAAATATCTTTGGGTAAAGGGAAACAAAAATTGTGATTTTCATGATCCATGCACCCCTGGGGCCTGAGGGGTGGGGCCAAAATTACTAAAATTAATGCAATCTTTAAAAATCTTCTTCTTTACTCCTGGGCATTAAGCAGTCAGACTGTTTTCATGAATGTAATCAGCATTGAGTTCTCTACCAAAAATGTGAAATTCATGGTCCTGGAATCAGGGGTTCTAGTGCTAGGGCGGGGCTAAATAAGTATATGGTGAAAAATGCATTATTTCTTTGAAAATCTTCTTCTCTGCTCCTGGGTATTAAATAAACCCACTAAGTACATGTACATAGTTATGATGAGCAAGAGTGCCTCTACCAAAATTGTGAATTCTATGGCCCCCATGAGTCAGGGGTTCTGGGGTTAGGACGGGTTTCTATTGATCATATAGTGAAAATACATGAATTCTTTGAAAATCTTCTTCTCTGCTCCTATGTTTTTAAATAGATTAACAAAGTGCATAGTTATGATGAGCAAGAGTGCCTCTACCACAATTGTGAATTTTATGGCCCCAGGGTCAGGGGTTCTGGTGTTAGGGCGGGGCTCTATTGATTATATAGTGAAAATACATGAAATCTTTGAAAATTTTCTTCTCTGCTCCTGGGTATTAAGCAGATAAACTACCTATATAGTTATGAGCAAGGGCCCTAATCTTCCAGAATTGTGAAGTTCAAGGCCCCAGGGTCAGGGGTACTAGAGAGGGGGAGCTGTACTTATATACTGAAAATGAATAAATCGTTTGAAATCTGCTCCTTGGAATTTATCAAATATTTTTGAAAAACAAGGATGCCTTTTCAAAATTGTTCAATGTGTGGATCTAGGTATAAGGGTCAGGGGTTCATGTGTGGTAGCAGTACTACTGATTATTGCTGAATATTACTGATTAGGTGAAAAGCAAAAGTGTAAAGTTATGATGAACAATCGTGCCTCTTTCAAAATTGTGAATGCTGGCTTAGAACATGAATCAAATTCAATCACTGGAAAGTTGTTGCATAATGCTCAGGTGACCTATAAGGCCCATGGGCATCTTGTATAACTTCAATGATATATTCTTGACGAAGTGTATCATGAATTCAATACTCCTATTTGCATGTACCAGATCTGGCTGTTGTACCGATGATTTGTACCGAGAATCATCTAGAGTTTGAAAGAAAGGCAATTCTTCGAATGTATTAAGTGCTTTTTATTTCCTAATTTTTTAAATATTTTTTTTAAACTATTTAAAATCTCAATAGTAGTTTGCTAATGAAAAATATTAAGGTATATCAAAGTGTTCTGAGCATCACATGTGTGTTCAATAAAAGTATTTTTTAAGCTATTCAATGAAACAGGATCCTGTAAATATGTCTATATTTGCTATACGAAATCCTTTCAAGATATATGAAAAGAAGGACGTACGAATAGAATACAATGAAATAGAACTTAACAAAAATTTTTTTTAAATGTAACAAAATAAATTATTTCATTAAACAATTTAAATTCATTTCTTTTAGTTACTGTTATTAATAGCAATGGTACCACAGATCTAGAGTTGAATCCTCAGAAGAAAGACAACTTTGTTCATTTCATCGTGATACTAGTCACATAGCTCGTGTTCGTTGTTTCTGTCTTTGTTGTTATTCTCATACACCTTCACAAAAAACGGTAAGCTATCGATGCCAAAACACACAGGTGAATTTCGGGTGAATTTTCATAATTATAATAAAATTGAAATTCTTATTGAGTTTTAAATTTATATTTATCAATTTTTTTTTATTTTATTAAAGTATTTTAAATGCTCTATATGGAGTTTATGTCTTCGTACATTTTTACGTACAAACAAATTTTCAAACGAGGCAAACATTTGGGAAAGATGTTGATGGGACAGAATGTTAACAGTCTCATTAAAGTAATCATTTTACAAATTATATGGTGAAGAGTGGTATAAATCATATAGTGATATTGTCAGCAAATTCACTCTCTCTCTCTCTCACTGGTGGAAGACTTCGTTGCAAAAGTTAATTATCTTGAATTCCTGAATACCCCTGCTTTGTTTGTTGGCTATATTTTTTTTTACAAAAATTGGTTTAGGGTTTTGATAAAATGAAATGTTTCTTTGTAGAAAAAATATGCTTAATAAAACGCAAAAAACTATGAAAGAGCATTTGCATCCCCCCTTGCCTAACTCTTTTCATGATTTACCATGCACGGATCTGAAGGGAGACGGGGGATCCGCCCCCCCCCCCCGGTCAGAATATGCAGAGCTACTAAATTGGCATACTAAACCAAGTAAAAAGTGTTTGGATCCGCATAGAAACCGTAGACATCCCCTCGAGAACGCGGGCCTGTGTTTAGTTGGTATGAAAAGTAATAGTCAAAAAGCATTAGAAGTTATAGGTCAATACCCCCCACCCATACACAACCCGCCCCGGAATAGGTTTTTCGTGATGGAGTGAGTGTACCATTTTTTGTTGTTTTTTTGTTGTTGTTATTGTTGTTTGTGTGTGTGTGTTTGTTTGTTTGTTTGTTTGTTGTTGTTTTTTGTTTTTGTGTTTGTTTGTTTGTATGTTTTGTTTTGTTTTGTTTTTTTTTTGCTTATTTTTTGTTTGTTTTGCTTGTCAACAAATTTCTAAATTGGATTATTTTAGGCGTGATTACATTTTTTTGCTTGTCATTAAATTTCTGAGTTTTTTTTTTTTTTTTTTTTTTGACAGAGTAGACCCCCTTCCCCTGGAAAAAAATTTCTAACATGCCATTTGAATGTTTATGTTATTAAGAACTAAAATAAACTCAGCTCAGATAAGCTTCCCTACGATAAATCTACGGTAAATGGGAAACCAGGTTTTTTTCAAAGACAATTTTTTCTTTAATGAAAAATAAGACCTGCAAAGGAATTTATATGATAAGAGCCAATTTTGGCCCCCTAAAAATCAACATTTTAGAATGACATTCAGGTATGTTTTATTTATATTTATTTTGTAGAAGAGATTATAATAGAAATATTTTCAATATATTTTTCACATTTATCTGCACTCACTAGCTGTAAATGACATGAGAAATAATGCTATTTTTGCTATCTAACAAAAAAGCCAAAAATATGCCTATTTCTTGATGTTTTTTCTTATGGGAAACATAGAGCGCAGTGTAGAACATACATAATTTTTCTGTCATTAATTAGTATTGAATAGGTACATCTTTGGTAAAAATATAAATCTTGTTCTCGGTTGCGCTCTATCTTTTCTGAAAGAAAAACTGCTTGAAAATAAGCAGTTTTATACAAAATATGCAAAAATGGCGGGAAAACGTGATTTTTATGATGTCATGTTTCTAAAATAACGGCATTTTGATCAAAATGAAAATTACCAATAAAGGTCACATATATAGCTGTACAAATTAAAGCTATATATAAAGTAAAATTAAGATATCCATTTTAAGGGGCCAATTGAGACACTAATAATATATCGCTCTTTTCATTTTTTTATTGTCATCTAATAATAATACTTTTTTAAAAATGCTCTTTCTAAACATATTCAGTACTCTTAAAATGACATGATTGTTTGAAACTATAAACTGATTTTAAGACATCGCATATACATGAATAAATACTATCATACCTTGGAATACACCTGTAACTGTCCATTCTTTAGACAAAGACATTTCGATATTTTGTATCTGGAAATACAATGGCTGTTGAACAGATTGCTGTGCATTCCTAGTATACCAGTGACTGCCAATTCTGTAAACAATGACATTGTCATTGTGTTTGTGGTTCCTGTATCTGATACAGTTTTGTAACATTTTATTTAATTCTAAGAACAAATGATATCCTGTACATATTCTAAGTGCAGAGAGTCCTCAAGCAGCCCATTCTGTGAGAGATGAAAGTAATCTCGGGCCTGTGGTCATCATTTTCTCCTTTACCTAATATTTTTATTAATATGTCGACTTGGTATTTACCTGATACCGGTACATTTAATCCATTCTAATAAAGTGTCAACGTCTTCTTTTTCAAATCTGGCCCATCGCCCGGCGTAATCTTCAACAGAATCCATAATATTTATGAAATTCTGACCCCAGTTGAAGCATTGGGGTTCCCTGCATTTAGGACCTTTTAAGATAAGTGATTTAAGGTCTTCAT